CATTCTTGTAGCGCAGACAGAGTCCCAAAATGTTGAGCAGGTTCTTACAACAAATGAACACGAAAAATTAATCCTCGGTCCAGGTACGCTAACTACAACGCCACGTCCGGTTATCCGTTTATTATAGTCTGCCCTGATTTTACGTGTTTTGAACAACATATTTAGAGAGGTTTTAATATAAAGGTACACACAGTTTGTTGGGTCTTATAAAGAAGATCATGAAGTCTCGGGAAATCTCGCGCTTTTTGTGGGGCAAGGCATGCAATAATCAACCTAACGTTCAGTTCTTTGTTTGTTTGTTTAATTGATAGCTTATTGTCTAGCTGTCCCTAATTTATAAGTGATAGACGGACGGCTGCTAGTCAACAACCCCCACAGCCAACTCTTGGGCAACAGTGGGGTTCAACGTCTCATTATAAAAAACACTCAGGGCTAAAAAGGGCGAGAATGTTCGGTGACGTGTTTCAGACTCGCAACGAGATTGCCAGTCGAGTACCCTAACCAGTAGTTCGTGTTAGGCTTCTGACCAATACAGAAAAGCGTGAAGATCAAACTGAACACAAACCATTGATATCAATCATTAAAACAAGTGGGACAGAAATTTATATGAAAAATAAAAGAGATTTAAAAACTGTTATTATTGTTTTTTTACAGTTTAATCAAAAAATTTATTTGCTATTGAAATAAGCATATTCATACAAAAAATAGTTAATTTGTTTTTAAACACAATTTATAATTAAGAAAGAATTAATTTGTGTTTAATAAATGGAAATTGTATATGAGAATTTAAAAAAGTTTTTAGTTTAAAAGCGTTTTCACAACGAACTCAGGTAATTGATTTAAAAGTCTGTTGGCGAAGGCACGTGACCTAAATTCTTGCGTTTAATTAAATATAGGGGGCAGTGTTGCGAGACAGGGAATTTCAGAAGGCCGCGGCTCATCAACCTTTCCAAGTTGCGCTAGTTTATCAAAGTATTGTAATCAAAGTTGTGTTAAGAATGTATGAACAAATCGAAAACTCATGATCGTTTATTCAACTCTTTTAAGCGTACCTTTAGAAAATTCAGAGGTGTCTCATTATAGCGTATTTTGTTATTTTATAACGAGTAACAGTCTTTATTATCCAAACGATTAATAAGATTCAAATTATATACAATATTTTATATTCGAAAAATATAAAAAACCTAACTTTATAACCAGTAATATTGTAAAAGCTTAACCTGCAGAGCTCACGCGTAAAGGAAACAAGAATAAACCTTCAAATATCTTTTAAACTCATAATGAATGTGCGATTATAAATTAAACAGAGTTAAATTATTAACACAAATCTAGTTAGGCCTACGCTAATGGATATGTGTCCGATGAGGACTCGAGCGCCTGACAACAGTCTAGCTAGGCCTACGCTAACGGAATTGAGTCTTGTGAAGATTCCAGAACTGGAAATTAAAGCTTATACAAAATAAATCCTTAAACAACTTTTAGAAATATGTCGTGTACAAGAGAATTGTATTTAAAAACGCAAATTAACGTGAATATGAAACGCACGTTATATTCACAAAATAAATTGCACAAGACATAGATATTTGTTTGCCAGTGTGAACGCCACCTTAATAATTTTAGTTCATACACGAATACCAGGGAATGGTAAAGAAAAAAAAAGTAATTATATATTTTTTTATTATTATTATTCTCCTTGAACTCAATAAAATTATAGTTTTCCTGCTTGAAACCATACCGGTGATCGCCAATGTTGAACTTTAAACACTTTTACAAAGAGAATGGCAGAATTATAGAATCTGGGTTTTTGAAGCTGCGTGGTTTAACTCGAGTTCTATCATAACATTCAATGAAGTGAGGCCCGGCATGGCCAGGTGGATAAGCCACTCGACTCGCAATCTGAGGGTCGCGAATTTCGAATCCCTC